CTACCCACCACCCACCGTCACCACTTTCCACCACCGTCTTCCGCCGCCACTCGCCACCAATTGTCATTTCTCACTCTTTTTTATATTTTTTTAAATTTTTAAACATTTTGCCAATTACCAAACGCGTTTGTAGTTTATGTTTTTCAAAAAATAAACAAAAACCAGTTTATAAAATTTTTGCAAATATAAACTGAAAACGTAAACGTTACCAAACACATTGTAATTTCTAAAATGTGAGGGGTATCAATGTAATTTACCCAGCGAGGGCAAAATTGGTATTTAAAAAAATTAAATTACTGAATGAGAGAATCTGTAATGAAACTTTAAATCTCAGGAAGGGAGATGTAATTTCCCAAAGGTGAGGGGAAACTGTAATAAATATAAATCTTAGGAGGTGTCAATGTAATTTACCCTTAATTTTTTGGGTAAATTATATTGACACCCCTTGAGGTTTATGTTTATTATAGTTCCCTCTCACCTTTTGAAAATTACACCCCTTTCCTAAAGTTTAAAGTTTCATTATAGATTACTCCCTGAGATTTAAAGTTACATAACAATTCCTCCCTTACCGTAATGATTATCATACATAAAATTAAATTAACAGGGGAGTTAGCATAATTTTTCAAATGTAAATGGAGAATTGTAATAAACATAAATACATAAATTTCAGGGGTGTTAGTGTAATTTACCCTAATTTTTTATATAAATATTTTACCTAATAATTTTACCTAATAAGTTTTAAAATAAGAATGATCTAAATAATGGAAATTATGATAAATTAGGATATTTGTTTCAAAGAAATTAGGATAGCCCGCGGATCACTCTCCCTCCATATTGCACCACTAGAGTCATATTCGGTTGCCTTTTGGTGACACCACTACTACATTCTGCCTAATTCTCTTTCATAACACACATCACTGTTTGACGCCATTACACAGTCTGTCTCTCTTTCTCTCTCTCTCTCTCAAAAATGAATAAGGTTTTTGCCGCCTTTTGGTACTCCGGCATCCTCCCCCTCTTCTGCACCACCACCATCCCAACCACTACCACCACCACTTTCGAAAACCATGAGAGCCTGTCACAGCCTCAATCCGCCAAGAAAGCTAAGAAAACAGGGACGAAAGCGAAACAACAACAACAAAATCAATCTTTTGAGGAGTTGCAAGAAAAGCTTCAACAGTTGAGGATCGAGAAGGAGCAAACTGAGGAGCTATTGAAGGCAAGAGAGGAGACTTTGAAGATGAAGGAGGAGGAGCTTGAAGCAAGGGGGAAAGAGCGAGAAAAGCTTCAGACGGAGCTGAAGAAGTTGCAGAAAATGAAAGAGTTCAAACCCACCATGGTTCGTTTTTTTTTTTTCCCTCTTCAATACGATGTTTGGTTGCTGAGAAAATTTGGTAATTTTCCTACATATTCTCAGAGACTGAACCCAGATTAATGGTTCAGAGTTGATGGGTATGTTTGGTTTGGTTCTCTTTAAAAATTGTTTTTGGGTGAGAGTTTAAAATTTTTTTTGGTTTGTTTGGTTGTATATTTTGAAAGTAATTTTGGAATTTGAGGGGTTGAAATGATTTGATATTTTGTTAAAACCAAACAAATTTTTTTAAATTTTTTTCCCAAATTACTTTACAAATCCAAACCAAACATACCCTAAATGTCCCCTTAACTTTTTTTTTTTTTTATTTACGAAAAAGAGTTAATAAATAAATAAATAAATAACAAATTTTTGAACACATTAAAAGTCAAAAAAAAATATCATGATGAAGATTTTTTATTCTATAATTAGTGTGTGGTATTTTATTATATATGTAATTTAAGAGTGAAAAATCTTCATGAACTATTTCATGATATTTTTTTATGATCTCAAATATTACTCATATTTGATAGTATTAATAACGAAATTATTATACAACAATTATAAAATATTAAATCCAAGTCGATCGCAATTGTAAAAGTAAAAACTAACAAGGTTACTATTAGTTAAGCTATACTCGTATCCTAGTCACCATCACATATTTTGAAATATTTGAATTATGTTGTAGTTGATCTAAAAC